TGAGACAGGCAGAATGAGAAAGCATGCTTGTGCCTTTCCCTCTTGTGATCTGACTCCAGCGGGTCTCATTGCGCATGTATTTCCTCCCTCTGGCTTCACATCCATATTTAAATCAGGCTTGAGGAAGCCATTTATTGGGCCCCTCAGGCTCCCAGTGGAGAGCATATGAGATCCCGGATAAGCTTAATATATTTGTATTAAAAATTAATAAGAAAGCTATATTGTTTGCAACATTAAATCATAATTTGATTTAATTCATTTTACTTAATATACAGCCATAATTCTAAAATGACTTTTTTAAAGAGGAAGCTGTGATGAGCTTGAAATCAGGTCAGGGGCCTCTGTGTCCCCGCCTGCGCTCTGCCTGTCTCGCGCAGCCGATCGCGGCTGCCATTTCCCGGGCGATGTTGGAGTCGGCGCCCCCTCCCGGGCCTGGGATGAGCCCTCTGTGGCCGATGGCGTGCAGGCTCCTCCTAACTGCTCCCGCTGAAAAGAAAATTCAGTGGAAAGATAGCTTTCCCAGCACAGGCGGCGCCGGCTTCACATCCCCTGATCGGTTTTGTTTAGGACTGCAGGAAAGGAAGCCACAGTTGTCCCCTCTGCAGGGCGCCTGCGCACAGGTGGGAGGCCCAGCAGGACACGGAGCCCCAGGGAGCAGTGCGGGGCGGCCAGGGGTTTCTTGTAAACTCTTCATCTGGGGGGAAGATCTGGCGCCTCAGGGAGAGCCCCCCGGGCCGGCGGCCACTAAGGCTCTCTCCTGACATCACTGAGCTGTGGCCCCAGGACGGCCCGGCCCCAGGCCAGAGGAGCTCCATCAGCAGGGGTCCCAGCTCACTGTGCCCTCCGCGCCACCTGTCACTCACACCCAGAAGACAGCCACTGACGCATTTTGCTCATCACTAAACCCACCTCTTCCTCTCCTTCTCTCCTACGCGCCTGGCCCGTCACGCAGAGGGAACGACAGTGTTTGTCTGCTCGTGGCACCTGCGTGGAAGTGTATCTTCCGCACAAGCGGTGGGGACTTCTTCGTTAGTCCTCGGCCTCAGCGGCACTCCCTCCCCTCTGCGCTAGCCACCCCTGTGGGTGTGATCTTGTAGCCTTACCATCTCAGGCCCGACACTCATCCAGGGCTTGCGTCCTGGCCCATCCCTGCTTCCGGGACCACAGACACCACCCAGCAGCGAAGGCGGGACCCACGGCGGCATGGCTACTGGAAGCCCAGGGCCTCTCGGGCGTCTCCCTCACACCAGGGGACCCCAGCCCCGCCCCGTGGTCACTGCGGGCCGTTGGAAAGGGGCTGCACAGCAGTCACAGAGGGAACACGGGGTGAGTCATCTCCTTAGCCTCTTGGGCCAACGTGAGGACGGGGAGCAGAGGGTCATGCTGGCCCCTCCTGGGGAAGGGGCCTGGGAGCCTGCAGCTCCCCTCCAGCCTGGCCACAGCTCCAGGCAGCTGCAGGGAGCCTCCTGATGAGCCAGGCCCCGCTGCTGGGGTGAGAGGTCTGCGCCTCTGGGGCAGGAAGGCCCGGGAGCCACGCCACGGCTAACCTGACGCTTGGGAGTGAAATGTGGCTGGAAGGAAGACGAGAGCCTATAATGTTGAAAACACAGACCAGCCTGACCACCAGCAAGCGAAGGACTGTCCCTGACCGGCCTGCGGGGCGGGTGGACCGGCCTGTGGAGGGGCGGGCCTGCCTGTGCGTGTGTGTAGGGGGGGGAGGGGGTAAGGGGGAAAGGAAGAAGTTCTTGCTCTTCCTGTGAAGAGCTTTGCAGGCAGTGCCTGGGCCTGTGCGTCTTTCCCGCCAGATCACGCGTCCCGGCCTCTGTGGGCGGAAGGCAGGGCCCTAGGACGACTTCCACGTGAGAGACTTTCCCACGAAGGGATTTCTCTGCCCTTCGCGTCGCGCTTTCCTGCAGGCCTCTGCCTCGGACCTTCATGCCCAGGCGATGGAGGCCCGCGGTGCCCTGGGGAGGGGCAGGGAGGAGTCACACGTAAGACACTGTCCCCCGCGTGGCACCCCACATCTGTTTGTATCTGTAGCCCAGGGGGTCTCACAGAGCTTGGCTGCCTGCAGAGTGGGGGCTGCTCCCAGCTCCTCCTCTCCCTGTGCAGACACCCGCTCCTAGCCTTTCTCACAGATACTGGGCACCCCCAGGGCAGCCACGTGAGTCACCAGCCACATCCCACCACCAGGGTCTGTCCCCCCACCTGGTGGGTTTCCAGCCGGATGGTCCCATGGGGTTACAGCCAGGTTCCCGGAGCAGGCTCCTCCCTGCTGGGGCCAGGGTCAGGGGTGGAGGGGGCCTTCCTCTCTCCTCCCCTCTCCTCCCCTCTTCTCATAACGGAAAATGTTGAAGGCGCAGAAATTCCCAAGAGCGGCTGAGCGAATGGGGCCTGCAAGCCAGAGGGCATGACCGCCCACCAGTAAAGGGGCAGCTGCGCTGCCTTAGATCAGCTGAAAACAGACAGCTGCTGCTCCCCGTTGGGGCTCAGGGTCACCTGCTCCCATCCCCGAGGGCACCGTGGCCGCCGGAGCCCAGGCCTCACCGGAGAGCAGGGTTAGCGTCCACCAGTGGGGTCTGGGCATCGGTGCCTCTCAAAGCTCCGGGTTGATGCCACTTTCAGCGGAGGCTGAGCGTGTGCTGTGTGCCAGGGGCCACGCTCCGCCTCCCGGAGACACGTGCACGTGCGCACAGGCCCAGTGGATCTGGTGTCCCTTGGCCCCGCCCCCGTTGGGGCGGGTTAGGGTGATACTTTTGTCTCCAGTTTATTTCTTGCAAAAACAGTTTGGAGGGTATTGTGGTTCTTACTGCTCAATAGCAAAACACCCCAACGTGGCAGTGCTCACCCGCCAGGTGAGCACACGGCTGGTGGGGCAGGAGTGTGAACGGGTCACAGTGGGAACAATTTGCTTGGGGTGGCTGTCGGGCAGACCGGGGTCTGGCTGCTTTCTGGCTGGTGGCTTCTGGTGGCTTCTCTGTCTGCATCTCTGGTGCCTGGGCCAGGCTGGCCGGACAGATGGTCACGTGGGCCTGTCCCCCAGAGCCCTGCCCGTGCTGGCCCGTGGCCCATCCTCCTCAGCGCCAGGCGGAGGCTGCAGGGCCTTGGAACGTGGGGGCATCGCTTACCTTGGGCTCTCGCTGACGGGGACACAGGCCCACCCAGGTTCCAGGACGGTGTGGCAGGTAGAATTGACACAGTTCAGCGATGGACTGAACACAGACAGCAAAGGCAGGGATTGTTGCGATGCCAGTGCTACGTGTCATGTGGCATAAAAGGAAAACAGAAAAGTGCCATGTGCGTCGTCATCACCGTGCGTGTAGGCGAGGGCTCAGCACAGCCTGCAAACGTGGAAGTTTCTGTGCAGGCGGAAAACAGAAAAGTGCCATGTGCGTCATTATCTCCGTGCGTGTAGGCGAGGGCTCGACGCAGCCTGCAAACGTGGAAGTTTCTGTGCAGGCGGCGGGAGCATGGCATTTCAGCCTTCCTCTGCATCCTCGTCATCGTGCTCACGCAGCCTGGGCGCTGCCAATCCCCGAGCGTGGCTGGATAGCGGCCCTGCGGGACCCAATGAGCGGGTGACCTGGCGTCCCAGGGGTACGATGAGGAGCGGGCAGGGCCGCCGGCCCCGGGATCTAACCTCCTTTCTCGTCCCTTCAGGCGTTCGATATCATGAGAGTGACGCACGGCCGGGAGCACGGGCTGATCGAAGACCTGATTCTGCTGTTGGAAGAGTGCGACGCCAACATCAGGGCATCCTGAGGCCGTAGGAGGACGCCCCTGCCCCCGCCACACGCTCCGCACGGCTGCTGTGCGGTCCTCCCGCCAGCAGTGCTCTCCGTGTGTAGGTAACAGGGCCGACACGCGGTGTGCGGCCGCACGCATCAGTAGCCGTAGAGAAGCACGATTATAATAAACACAAGACACTTGGTTGAAAATGCCGCCTGGTCATTGTTTCCTTGGCTTACTCACAGGTAATTGTGACATTTAAGGTTGGGCGTGAATGATGGAAGGTCACGTTGAAAGCGGAGCAGAATAAGTGTTAGCGTTCTCCTTGGGTGTCCTTCGGGGGAATAAGTGAAAATCAGCGTTTCCCCATTTCTTCCCGCAGGCCCGTCCCCCTGGGCCGGAGCAGCGTTCAGGCGTTGTCTTCCCTGTGTGTGTTACAGGGTTCTATGTCCATGATGCATTTCCAAGGGCGACTCAACACAGGACGTTCCATCCTGAGTCCCAGGAAGGGGTCACGTTAGTTGCTAGAAAGGATGAGGGAGTCCCAGTGCAAAGGAGACTGTGTTTGCTGGTGTCTGTGGCTCCGTGGGAGCTCGCGCATTCTCGGCACTTTGTAAGCCTGTGTGTGTCACGCCTGTTCTCATGAGTTTCCCCCACTTCTAGGCCTGTGGTCCCAGCATGTGACATGCTCAGCATGAAGCGCCCTTGCCCTGCAGGGAGCAGGGTCCCAGCCTGCCAGCTCAAACCCGCTTCTTCCTTCCCTGTCCCCGTCACCTTCCTATTCTGTGGCCTGCTTTCCCGCCTTCGGCTGCAGACAAGCACAGAGAACCTTCTCTCCTCCTCCACGGGAAAAAGGTAAACCCTCTTCTGGGCCTGTGACTGCACGAGCAGCTCACTCCCTCTGCTCAGACGGACGCCGTGACGATGGCCACAGCCCTCACTCTCCGGCCACGCGGCTGCCGAGTGCCAGCACTGGACGTCGGACGGCTGGGGGAACAGCCCCTGCGTCTGTAGTCACAACAGGAACCCGACGCCTGCCTGCGACATGCGGATTCTCAGCGAGCCGCCTCCCACGCCACACTGTTCACGCACAGAGCGAGGCAACGAGATCCGGAGCTCATGGCAGAACCCAGAGCGGCCACTCCTGGCCCCTCCCCGGGCCCCCCCACCCTCACGGGTGTGGTGAGTCCTCCAGCCACGTGGCTGCCCAGTGCCAGCACCTGGGCGTGGGGTCGGCCAGAGGACAGCCTCATTCTGCAGCCGAGGAAGTGGCCAGGAAGCAGCAGTCTCCTGGCTGCTCACCTGGCTGTTCACCTGGCTGCTCACCTGCCGGTCACTCGGGCTGAAACGTGCACGGCCGCTTGCCGACGCGCTCGCTCCGCTGCCTCCTCGCCACTTGCTTCTCGAACAGGCCCGTTGGGCACCAGGCCCCGTCAGGCACACAGTGCCAATAACCTGGGAGCACAGGGAGGGCGGGATGGAGAAGCCCATTTGGTAAGTAAGGACACAGGCCTGGGGCCAGGCGCTGCGGGATGCCTCCTGATTTACCAAGTGACCTGGATTGACAGGCCAGCTCCACAATCCTGCGGGTGCATATGAAGGTGACTGTGTGTTTAGCACAAAGGAACCAAAGGCTGAATCAGACCTGCCCCTCGTCCTCAGACGCTCACTGTGGGGCAGAGCGTTTGTGTCTGTGGCTTTCCGTGCGTGGCCAGCGACGCCCGCACAGCATGAATGAACTCCATGGTGCGGTCTGCCACCCATGCCCTCGCACAGCCCCCTGGCCAGAGCGTGGACTGCGGGAGGAGGGAGCGTGCCATCTGCAGCTCACCACCGCAACTCTGAAGCGACACTGGCGTCATGGAACATTAGGGAACGTGATGGAATCCGTAGACCTTTCTAGAAATACATCTCCCAATGAACAGTGTGCCTTCAGCATTGGGTGCGGGAGCTCCCATCAGTGGCTCCCTGGGTCCTTCATCTGATGAAACACAGACCTGCTCCCTTCGATACACGGGAGGCCGTTGTCCTGTTCCTCGTTTTGGCCCCGTCAGGAAATGAGAAGTCCTCGCAGGAGGACGGCAGCCTCGCCTGCCAAGTGCGCTGGCCAGCTCTCTGGGTGAAATCCAGACTCAGGGATGAACCTGGATGACGGGATTGGCCCCCATGCCCCCCGGAGAAGGCATGACAGGCTTTGGACCCCTCAGCCGCCTCCCCGTTTGGAGAAAGGGCCTTCTGAGGGAGGGGCCCTGGTGCCCCCGCGTCCGACAGAAAGCAGACATGTCAGCAGCGGAAACGTCCTGGCGGCCCCGCAGCAGGGTCCTCTGGAGGAGGGGAAGGGGAGGAGACGTGATTTAACACGCGTGTCACCGCGGCTGGCGATTTATTGCGCCCCAGCCTCCACGCCGGCCGTTTCATTAATCCAGAGTCATCGCAGCGGCGGGCTCTTCTCACATCAGTAACCTGACGCCATTAGTCGCTCCTCTGGGATGAGAACACATTTAAACTGAGAATGAACACGCTGGGCGTAATTTACAGCCGTGCGTCCGATGCTGGGAGTGCCGGAGGGAACGGTCTGGGAGAGCGCTCACTGCGCGGGCAGCGTGGCCTCCCCTGATGGGCCAGCCCCACCCCGGCGCCCAGTCAGGCCGCAGGCCCAGAGGGCTGCCCCGTGGGCGCCCCTCCTCATTCTGTCCTGACCTCCTTCTGGCCCGGGAGTGATGGTCCACCCACGGGGGCAGCCACAGCTCCATGGGGAGGGGTCCTGGACCCTGTGCGTGGAGCATGTGAGACCCTGGGCACGTGGTCACTGCTGGATGCGTCAGGGAAACCGAGCGTCCTGCGGCATAAGGTCTGGGGGAGCTCGGAGGGGCCGATGGATCAGCCACGCCACCCCGCGGGAGTTGCCGCGTGGCCTGGTGGGACCTGTAAGCGCCAGGACGCTGTGGGCGCACAGACGGCTGTTCAACACCAGCGCCGGCCTGTGTGCAGCTCACCGTCCACACTCCCTGCAGCACAGAACCGCCCTGACGCCCCTTCCTCCTCCTCAGCAAACGCGCTGTCCTGCTCCTCGGAAGTGCTCTTAACCATGTCAGCCCTTTCTATTCCCTGTGGATTCCCAGGCTCTTCGCAGGCCCCCGGCACCTCACTCCTCCGCCACTGCCAAGACCGCCTCCCCCATCTGGCTGCAGGGGAGCAGGGTCCCTCTCTTCCCTGCCCCTCCTCAGAGCTGCCAGTCAGGTCCCCAAATCCCTGTTGCGTCACCTCCCCTTACAGCTCCCCTCTCCCTGCTCACAGACTTACAGTGGCTCCCTCCCCACGGCCACTCTGCCCACGGTCAGTCTTCAGACTGGCACTGACGGTCTTGAACTGCCGAGTCGTACGCTCAGGGGATCCCCACGCGAGCCCCCCACTCCAGCTCACCAGCAGCTCTGTGCCCCGCCCCCTCCCCCTCATCTCCTGATTCACGGCCTCTTCCTCATCGGCTGCTTGTTTAGTTCATGACGACCAAATTCCTTCTGCGTCTCGGTAATCTACCCACCCATTCGCAAAGGTCTAGCGCTAGCCTCTTCCGTTTTTCTTCAAAAACATTCAAATATGTGCATGGCGATTATTATTATTATTTTGGCTGTTAGGAGCTTTTCAAGTGGGGTCCTGTGTCCTGTGTGTTCCTGTCGGTTTGGAAACACTTTCACTCCGGGGCACCTTACATCGGAACAGCCATGGTCCCAGGAGCCCTGGGGAGACACCCTGATCTGGGCACTATGTCTGCTTGTTGCCACGAAGATGTCATTGTTTCTGGGCCTTTTTAGAATCAGTAGCTCACACCGATACCACCAATTAAAAGGCAACGTCCACGTTGTTTCTCATCTTCCTCCTTCCATAGTTGTCCTTCCCCCAGACACACCAAGTAGCTTTGACGTTACTACTGTAACCACTACCTACCCAGTAAAAGTTAGGATTCCTTTCCAGAGCTTTCGGTTCTGAGGCAAAAAAGTTGTATTGTCAGAATACCATGTTTAAAAGGGACTTACCTGTGTTGTTCTTTTATGTGTGACTACATGTAATCCATTTGATATCCAATTGGGTTTATTTCTTTCTTTTTTTTTAAATAATATGTTTTATTGATCTTTTACAGAGAGGAAGGGAGAGGAATAGAGAGTTAGAAACATCGATGAGAGAGAAACATCAATCAGCTGCCTCCTGCACGCCCCCTACTGGGCATGTGCCCGCAACCAAGGTACATGCCCTTGACCGGAATCGAACCTGGGACCCCTTAGTCCGCGGGCCGAAGTTCTATCCCCTGAGCCAAACCGGTCAGGGCTATTTGTTTCTGTTTTTATTCAGCTTTAGGGTTTGCCCCAGTATTGCTTTATGCTGCTATGTGAACGTCAATATAAATTTCGCTATTGCAAACAATGACACAGTGAAGACCCCCGTGCAGATGTGTTTTGGCTGTTGGCTGTTTGCGTAGCGCGGGAGCTGTATCTTCGGGGTAACTCCCTGGAAGTGGAATTGCTGAGCCCGAGGGCCAGTGTGCCTGTCATTGTATTAGGTGTGGCCACGTTGGCCTGGAGGAGGGCGGTGTGGCAACGCCTGCCTGTGTCCCACAGCCTTGTCAACAGAGCAGGTGGTTAAACTTCCGGATTTTTTGCTGAGTTGATAAAAAACAGTATCGCAATCTAGTGTAAATTGGCATTTTTCTTATGAGTGAAGCTGGATGTCTTCAGATGTTGAAACGCCCTCTGTCTGTCCTTTCGTGGGCTATCTTTACAAGTCCCCTGTCCATTTTCTATGCTTTTGTTACGTCCTCCTTTATCTTTGTTTTTCATATATTGGGAAGATTTTCCATTTGTCATAGGTAATCTCTCAGTTTGTCATTTGTTTTCTGACTTTGCTTTAACCTGTTGCCCTGCGTGCCTTCGGATGACATTTTTAAAACATGTCATGAGAACTCCGCTCTGTGGTAAACCGGGGTCCGGCTGTAACGTTGAGCACGGCCAGCCTCCCCTTTGGTTCCTGATTGTTAAGTTCACAAGTCGAGTTGATATTTAATTGATATTTAAAAGTTCCGTCTTCCCCGGCCAGGCTGCGGTCTCCTCGTCTTCCGCCAGCACCTGGCCTGGTTGAGGCCCTTTCCCTGGTGGAACGATTCGGATTTTAATCTTGAACTGCCTGGGTGCGAGCCTTCTTGCCTTTTTGGGTCGTG